CTCCCACAGGAGGGATTTTTCTTTTCCCTTCTCTACTCTACTGCAGGTCTCTTCTTCTTACTTTTATCTTGGGTGTCCCGTGCCAGTCCGGTCTCAGTGCTTTCTAATCCACCGAGCACGTTCACTCCCCCATGCTCCTCCACTGCAGCATATGGCGGACCTCCAAATCGGAACATGACGGTGGCCTTCCGCTTCAGCTCCTTATTTTTCGCCTTTAGCACACTTATCTCTGCTCGCGCATCCTTATACATGCGCTGGAGCAGAGCCAGTTGGGCGTTTAACTGCTGCACCTCATTTGTCCTACTCTGAAGCCGGTGCGACAAGTTTGTGACCGCAGTCATGGTCTCCACGCATGACTTCAATGTATACTGATTGGCCTCAATATCCGATTGCACTGCCATTCTTTGCTCCACAGACCGCATAGGAAAGTTCAACGGAGCAAAACCAGAGGCGCTTGGTTGAGGTTCAAGGGCAACCGCACCAGTTATCTCTCTTGTGGACTCGTTGCGGTCGGGAAAGAGAGTGAGCAGACCACGGGACGAAGAGGCCATATTCTGGGTAGCTGAACGGGAAGAAGAGGCCATGTTATGGGTTGCAGAGTGTTTCAGAATGCAAATGTTCAGATGTTTCAGAATGACAATGTTCAGAGGTTTCAGACTAGTTTGGTTTACACAGCCTCCGCATTGGTTTATATTGACAATGACGAAGAGGACGACACGCGCTCTATCGATCACGTGCATCGCCGCGTGTCTGGCGCGCCTTTTGATGGTTCGCCGTTCGATACTTTCTCTCGGGCACGACTTTTGATGCAGTGGGCGCGACTTTTGAGGGCTCGATATATATATCCATGTATATATATTTGGGCAGCCTATCTACACCATCATACAGCGTATTCTACAACGGTCCAACATGACCCCATAAACTGTCCCAACATTGATTCCGGTTAGCTTCTCCAACGGTCCGACATGACCCCCTAAACTGTCCTGACATTTGATTCCGATTAGCTTTTCTAACGGTCCGGCATGACCCCATAAACTGTCCCGACATTGATTCCGGTTAGCTTCTACATCGGTCCGGTGTGACCTCGTAAACTGTCCAGACATTATCTGCTGCAATGGTCTGACACGACCATACAGTGTCTCCTATCAATTTTTTATTTTATTTGTCAGATTATTTTCCTGTTTTGTTACTCTCTCCAAACTCAAGTTGGTTAGTTCCTATCCCCCTTGAGTTTGAGGGGGGCTATTGAATGTAAAAAAAACTACATCTTACTTCACCTACCACTACCACCTACTACCACCTACTCCACCTACTACACACCTACCTACTCTACTCTTCTATATATAGGAATCATTGTAAACATATTCAACACAAATCAATAATACAATCAATATCTATACAATTCTCTATTTCTCTTTATACATTAAATTTTCTACAGGAGGCGTAAATGGGGCTTTAGGGGCTGACAAAGAATCGGAGAAGGACAGGAGATGGGCGAAGGGTGATTGCTGAAGGTGCCGACTGAAAATGTCAGTCAGAGGTGGAGAGAGTGGCTATGGTGTTGCCGAAAATGACGTCGATGATGTCGCCGACAACCAGAGCTCAGAGTGGAAGAGATTAGGGTTTTGAATTAGGTCTTTTAGGTAAGGGTTTATTACGCTAACTACCCTTAAGTATCACCAAATTGTCTACTTAGTACTTAAACTTTCGATTGAATCTGTTAAGTCCATGAAGTATATTAATCAAAATCTATTTTGTCCATAAATTATCCAGTGAATCTATTATATCCCTAAAACATTTAATTCAAACATATTTAGTTCGTCAAATGATTACAAAAATAAAATATATGTCCATAAATATTATAAAATTAAAAATTAAAAAAAAACCTACCTAATTATTATTCCATAAAATTTTTAAATTTCTGTTTTGTTTTTAAAAAGTGTTTTATTTCAATGTGCATTTAAATTAATATTAAAGTTTGATTTCTCAATATTTAGGGCTTTGAATCAGGTCTTTTAGGTAAGGGTTTATTACGCTAACTACCCTTAAACTATCACCAAATTGTCTACTTAGGGTGTGTTTGATTGGGGGGATAAGGGGGAGATTATTTACTGTGCGGATTGTAATCTGCGCAATAAATTCAATCCGATGTTTGTTTTTTTTTTAGTTCGCCGAACATGGAGTCCGGCTGGACTCTTTATCCCCCATGTGGGGGATTATATTATCCTAGGGAAGGGTGTTGGATAATTTTGGGAGGATTATTTACTATTGGATTAGGTGGTAAATGACCATTTTGACCCTCTACTATTTAATTATTATATTATATTTATAAATCAATAAAATTTAAATGTTTCAATTTAAAAATAAAATATTTTATTTAACTTTTATTGATGTTTTATTTATTTTTTTTAAATAATTTTTTATTGATGTTTTATTTTAAAATTTTGTTTATATTTTATTTAATTTCATTATTTAAATTTTAATAGATGTTTTATTTAATTTCATTGTTTAATTATTATTATTTTTAAAAACAAATTTATTTAAAATTTTAATTAAAAAAATAATATAAATTTTTATTGATATTTTATTTATTTATTTAAAAAAAATTATTTAATTGTGTAAAAAATAAAATAAAATAAAATTTTATTTAATCTAGCTAAAAATAATTAAAATATTAAAGATACGTTTAATATTGCTATTACTTAGTAAACAATTGAAAAATGGTAAAATAGTATTTTGTTTATTTATTCTATCCAATCCGTCCAACCAGACATTTAATCCCATGAAAAAACAAACACAGAATACATATCCAAAATAATCATTTCTAGACATCTAATCCCATGAAAAAACAAGCACAGAATATATATCCAATCCAACCAAATAGTCCGGGGGATTCACAGTCCCAAGACTCAAGTTCGATGGATTTTAATCCCCCCTTATCCAGTCCGTCCAATCAAACACACCCTTAGTACTTAAACTATCGATTGAGTCTGTTAAGTCCCTAAAGTATATTAATCAAAATCTATTTTGTCCATAAGCTATCGAGTGAATCTATTATATCCCTAAAACATTTAATTTAAACATATTTAGTTCCTCAAATGATTACAAAAATAAAATATATGCCCATAAATATTATAAAATAAAAAATTTAAAAAAACCTACCTAATTATTATTCCATAAAATTTTTAAATTTCTGTTTTGTTTTTAAAAAGTGTTTTATTTCAATGTGCATTTAAATTAATATTAAAGTTTGATATCTCAATATTGCCAATAAAATTATACGAGTATTAGATATACTAAAGAAGTATAATTAGATAATTTAAATATATTTTTCTACAAATAATAATAGAACAAATATAAAAATTAAAATTAAAAATAAAAAAACTTGGTGAAAAACTTAACAATCAATTAAAAATTATAAATGAAATTCAACATTTAATACTTGATAAAAGCAAGCAAGTAGTCATTGTAGAAGATAATTTAAAAAGTACACTATCGATATTTACTCTTACTCTTATAAAAAAAATTCACTAAAAGAATTGATGTCCACTTTTCAAAAACAAAATAAAATTTTATAATTTTGTTGAAATAAAATTTTAACTAAATAGGGTCTTAGACTAATTTATAATTTATGATACTTATAGGCAAATATTTTATTTTTATAATTTTTTCATGGACTAAATAGATTTCAATTAAATATTTTAAAGACTTAATAGATTTAATTGATAGTTTAAGAACTAAATAGACTTCGACTTATTTATTTTAGAGACTTAGTAAACTCAATCAATAGTTTAGAAATTACGTATATAATTTGACAATAATTTAAAGATAAAAAGTATAATAAACCCTTTAAGTAATTTAACTTAAGGGTAAAATTTAATATATATATAATGAAGTGTCTAACCAATAATTTTGGGTGCATTTAAGGATAGATCCAGGGGGTGTGGGTGGCGCCAACCACACCCCTAAAAATTTAAAAAATATCATATGTTACATTAGAAAATTTAAAATAATTAAAAATTTAAAAAATTTACACTTCTGAACATACTTTCGCACCCCTATAATGATAATCCTAAATCTATCCCTTGTGCATTTAGAGTCTCCCACATGTGAGTCTTCTCTCCCGCTTTAGGAGTTATATTCCGAATTCCAATGTTCTAACAAAATAAAATAAGGTGTATACTATTGATCTGTACTAATTTAGTTGGTCAAAATTCTAACACTTAACTATGAGATTCAATCCCTTCAACTGTGATTTCTCTCCTAATTTGGCAGTGAGTCTCCCACATGTGAGTCTTCTCTCCCGCTTTAGGAGTTATATTCCGAATTCCAATGTTCTAACAAAATAAAATAAGGTGTATACTATTGATCTGTACTAATTTAGTTGGTCAAAATTCTAACACTTAACTATGAGATTCAATCCCTTCAACTGTGATCTTCTCTCCTAATTTGGCAGTTACATTCCTAATTCAAATATACAAAAAAAATTAATAGAAAAAAAGAAAAAAGAAAAAAAAGAAGGCAGCAGCTTGGACAAGAAAGAATTTTCACATTGCTAGGTTTGAGTTACAAAAAAAGGTTTGAGTTACATTTGCTGTAGAGTTTGGGGCGGCTCGCTTGTGACTGAGTTTTGTGGGCTTGGCTTCACCGTTTGAGAGTGGCCAACTAGGCCCACATCTACTCAAAGTCGTTGCTTAAGTCATTCTGCAAATGGTCTTTCATCATTATATATTCCACCGAATTCTTAGTTTTAGACAGTACACTTAGGGCATCTTTGGGCTAAGTTTTTTAATTTCAGGGGTCAATCACTTGACAATAGTTTAGAAAATCTCAGCGCATCTAAGGATCATGTGTACATACATATAAATCATTATTTTCTAAATATAATATATCCTAGCATTCTTCACGAAGAAAAATAAATTTGGAAAAATTCATTTGGCAATATGTAGCAACCCTCGCCTAATAAATCTTTTCAACAATAAACCTCATAACATTCAAACTAATAAAATAATATTTTCATTAGGGTTGAACAAATCAATTTATACAAAGTTCAAAACTGGAGCAGAGTAGGGTTGTTTCACTAGGCTCCTCTTCATCTACAAACCAAACAAGGACTACTACAAGCCCCAACTCAACTTGAAAAAATTTCAATGAGTATTTATCTGCTGGGAAACCATTATTTAGCACAGTTAACAAGTATACATCTCCGAACCGAGCTCCTTCGTAGGAATTGGAAAAACAATCCAAACAAAGGCATCACAGAAGTAACTATACCTCTATACGCAGTCGCCGCAACTCAGATTGGAAGGTTGGACTGGAAGTCAGAGTCCTACAAGCGAGAGTTCTAATGTCCTCTCGTGAACAGTCACGGGAAATACGAACTAACTCCCAAAGAGCACCTCCACTAATCATGTCGTTTGCATTCACTTCTGAAATTACATAATTAAAAAAAGAATGAATTAACGAAATTCCTTTGTGGAGCATCGGTTTCCATAATAGAAATGTTAGAAGTTTGCTTACCATGTTGTGCCAAGTGACAGAGTGCAAGCTCAGTGTGACGCCTAATTAATGAGGTCTCATTGTTGGCATTTTGTACAATCCAAGGAAGTGCACCATCTTCTATCAAGAAAGATCTTCCGGTTTTTGTCCCTAAGTCGCAGTACCAGATTAGCATCATACTATAGAAGCAAAACCAATCTCTCTCTCTCTCTCTCTCCCTTTTTCTTTTTTTTTTTTCCTTTTCCATTTTTATATACTTTCTGGTAATAACATCTGAATGTGATTGCAAAATCCTAGATCCATGAGTGCGAGCAAGTGACAATATGTTAGGTTCAAAATCAACCACGCCGGAACATGGGTATGTCAATGGATACAAAAGATGCCTATAAATTGACATTTCAATAGTCAAGACTGGTAATAATAACAAACATTTGACAGGCCACCGTCCAAGGCACTCACCATGAGTAGATGCTCGGGACTCACATTTTGCAAAATTTGCAATTCCACGTGCAACTTGGGAAAGCACGTCTGGATGTCTACATCTCACCATTTGTAGCAATGCCGTAATACCGCCTTCAGACCTCAGCCTCATTTGCAGCTTATCTGGGAGAACAATACATTATGCAAGGATCAAAAGGGATTCCAAATCTTTAAACCCGCATAAGGCAGACTGTCCAGTCCAAAAATTTAACCTAGTTTAAAACCTTGATGAACCTTCAATGTTTCATTGAAACTTTTTAATTAACTGGGCCAGAGACACTAGAACAGTTTTTCTTCATTAATTAAATTTCTAGTCTATGTCATTTAAATAAAAAAGAACAAACCATTTAGTGGAAGTAACAAAAAGGTCATTTTCAACAAGGTTATCCCATTATATTTCAACGTGTTCATTTCACATTTTCCTCAGTTGGATCTCCCAAGGACATCTAACTGTTCTTTAATTCAACATGAGAGGGGAACCTTCTCAGGAGCTAAATGACAGTGAGCAGAAGATCAGGAAAGAAGTTATGAATAGAGATGATGCAAGGAAGTGTTCGGTCTATACCATTGCCGCAGAGATTAGCAATAGCTCCAGCAACCATGCGCAAAGTTTGAGGATCCTCGGCATCTGCTGCTGTAATTGCCAACAGACCAATTCCACCCTGAGCCATAATAAGTTCCTGATTGGCTTCTGCAAGGACAGAAAGAGAACTTAACATAAGAAATGATACATAAACACCAAAGTGAGACCACAAGCCCAAGAGAGATGACCTGTCCTCTCAAAGAAAATGACACAAAAAATAAAAAGGACGGGGTTGAGGCATACAAATGAGCACTAACCATTCATGGCAAGGTTTGCAATTGCACCAGCTGCTACTCTGCGAACAGTTTCATCCTCGAAGGTTTTAAGAAGCATCAGCAAGGAAGTGAGACCCCCAGCTTCAACAATCCTTTCCTGATTTGCTTCTGCATAGTACAATGTTACTACACATTCTCACAAAGTGTAACAAAATAGTACCAGCAATTTTTATCAAAGAATTGCATTCTGAACAATTATGAACTAAGTCAATGGCATTTGGATTTCAAGACCAAGCAAAACATTACAACTAAAAATATAATTAGCATTGTACATGTCCAGGCCACTTGTCTCCATATTGGTTTTCAGCTTATATTTTAGATCACTAGCATAGATCTCCCATCAAACGTAGGCCCCTAAAAAGAGTGAAGCTATACAAATGACATTTAGAATCGAGAATTTTTTTTTAGTTATCTTCAAACATGGACATTTTTGTTATATTCTTTTCCTTATGATGACAGCCATTGCAACATATCAGGTTTCTTAACGTCATTCTATTGAGCACTGCTATCAGTTAAAATATATTTTATACAGGTCTTGCTATCAGAACCATTGTTGCATACATGTTTCTCATTTCTTCTGCAAGCAAGATATTGAATGCGATAAAAAGGTAAGAGAAGATTAGTGCATAATATTACTAGAGTTTGTTGCAGTTCAATCTTGATGCATCATGCATGTCAATTATGCTCACCCTATTCAGTCTTTTTTTCATTCATATTAATTTTTGGAAACGAATTACGCACTTGTGCTCTATTCTTTCAATAAACCTTCCCCATTCTCCCCCTCTTGCAAAAAATAGGATGTTTAAAACAAGAATTTTGTTAACAAGTTGCTTGAAATGATTGTACAATGACCATTTTGCGATCACCTTATAGCTCAACAATATGAGTGATTCAAATCTGGACGATTAAGCAATTCACTTTAAACAATTTCTAAAGGTAACCTAATCAGAAGCATATCAAGGTGATCTACATTCTACTTGTCATACAGCATCAAAAGTACAATGGAACAGCAGATATCTAATAGCAAGGTCTCAAGGAAAGAGAATTTAAACACCTTCAGCTGCAAGGTTGGCCATCACTTTTACAGCATGAATCCGTACGTTAGCATCTTCTGACTCTAGCAATGACAAGATCTTTTGCAACCCAACTGCACAGCTTGATGGATGGGAAAAGTTATTTAGAAAAATATGGCTCAAATAGGATTTAATGAACATAACTTTGCACAATTACACTGGTACCTTGTTCATGGAGATTGGTGATTGATGATCCATGCCCATTACCCACATCTTTGTGGGGTGACTGTTTAATATGTGAGAGAGAATCTAACCCAGTAAAGGAATTCCCAGACCTGCCTCTATCAAGATATCTTCTAGTCTATCAATCAACACAAAACTAAAGTTAGATAGGTTCAGGAATTTTGTAAGTACCTGTACTAATATGTCATATCCTAAGGATGGCCAGGAATGCTTGAACTCAATTTCATTAGAGAGGTTTAGTGGGGTAGTAATTCAGGGTTTTCACTCATGCACTAAACAAAGAGTTACTGCAAAATGCATAAATTGGTTTTTTGAAGAAATTTCCTAAGAAGAAACATTGAATATGGGAAACCATTATAAGCTTTTTCCACATCTTCTCTCATCATCTTCGGCCCTTTAGAAAATCAAATCAAGTGACCCCTGGACTCTTATCTCATATATTTTACCATGTGAAAAACAATTTGTTCCATTAGAATCAAGTTAATGTGTCACACAATGAAAGTGTGGGAGAGAGTAATAGAACGTCGATTGTGAGATATAACAGAAATGTCAGAAAATCAATTTGGTTTATGCCTGGTAGGTCAACAATGGAAGCAATCTATCTTTTGAGGAGAGTAACAGAGAGAGAGAGAGAGGGGAAAAAAAAAACTCATATGGTTTTTATCGATCTTGAGAAAGCATATGATAGAGTGCCTCGGGATATAATTTGGTGGGTGTTAGAGAAGAAAGGGGTGACAAAAGGTTATATTGATGTAATTAGAGATATGTATGAAGGTGTGGTGACCACTATTAGATCGCCTGCTGGAGAGACGAGTGAATTTCCAATTACTGTAGGATTACACCAAGGATCAACCTTAAGTCATTTTCTTTTCGCTTTAGTTATGGATGAGTTGACGCACAATATCCAGGATGATGTGCCATGGTATATGCTTTTTGCAGATAATATCGTGTTAGTAAATGAGACTAGAGAAGGAGTTAACACTAAGTTCGAGATTTTGGGAAAAACACTTGAATCTAAAGGATTTAAGATAAGTAGAATTAAGACAGAGTATATGAAGTGTAATTTTAGTAACAATCACAATGGAAACAGAGGAAAGTGAAAACTAAAAACCAAGAACTACTTAAGAGTGCATATTTTCGTTATTTAGGATGGATTATCACAACGACTGGGAGATTGGAGCAGATGTAGTCTATAGAATTAAAGCGGGATGGCTTAAGTAGAGGGGTGCATTTGGAGTACTGTGCAATAAACGAGTACCCATTAGACTAAAAAGGAAGTTCTATAAAACGGCTATTAGACTAACGATATTGTGTGAGACAAAATGTTAGACAACTAAGAAATAACATGTAGATAAGATGAGTATTACTGACATGAGAATACTAAGGTAGATGTGTGGCAAGACTAGAAAAGACAGAGTTAGGAATGAGTATATTCAAGAATGAGTAGAAGTAGTACCGATAGAAGGTAAGTTGAGAGAGAATAAACTGAAATGATTTGATCATATACAATGGAGACCAACAGAGACAGTAGTAAAGAGATGCGATACAGTAACGGTAGATAATAGTATTAAGGAAAGGGGTAGACCTAAATTGACGTGGACTAATATACTAAATAGAGATATGAATCTCCTTAATTTGACTAACGAAATGGCCTTGGATAGAGTCTAGTGGAGAAGAAGAATTCATACAGTCGACCCCATTTGATGGGACTTAAAGCTTGGTTTGGCTTGGTTTGGCTTGGTTTGGTTTGAAGTGAAAAGCAAGAGGCTTAGTACTAACATTGTACAAGGAAATAAAGTACATTGAATAAAGCAAAATGAGTTTGTTTCACTTTTGTAAATGGCATACCTGATCAGCTTTAAAAGTCAATTCCGACAACTGGCTTTCTAATCTGATTACTTCTTCTTCAAGTTTCTTTTTCTGAAGCATTTCGTCTTCTAGCAATCTTAGAAGCTTTACAATATTTGCAGTTCCATCTGCCTAGTACACCAAAATAATCCATTATTTATCATGACACTTAAGCTTTACAATATTAAAATAGAGCTTAAGCAAACATTTGTTATAATTGGGTGAAACAGTACCTCTGATGGTGTAAATTCAGCTAGTTGATTTTTGAGATTGTTAATGTCTTCATCTTCCTTTCTTAAATGAATTTTGTTCTGAAGCAACTTTTTGACCTCAGAAACTTCCTCACTAGCTGAGCCCACATGCCCCTGGATACCAAAAGAAAAACTATTAGATCATTCAAAAAAATAATTTGGACTAATTTCATGCCCGTAAGGTTAAGTAATCTATCTAGTAACTGAATACAGCAAGTAAAAGAACGATTCATACCAGAGCGGATACCATAGGTTCATAACTACATCAACCCTCATGACTACATTGTCATGAAATCGGCTATCCAATTACTTTCTAAGGATATACCAGTTGCTCATAGTTAAACTAAAACAAGGTTGAGTAAGACGTTCATTATGATCTTCAATAAATGCTTACAAATTCATATACATAGCAACATGAAGGAATATAAATTATGGGATTATTGTGCACCTATACGCAAACACACCATACCTGTCACCTTGAAAGACCCTTGAGAAATAAATGATCTTATTTATTATATTACAGCCATTCAACTTTAGTGGCCTCGGTGGCAATTTGTTTTTTAGCCTAGAAACAAAATACACATTGATCAGGAAAAAAACTGTTTTATCATTCATTTCTATGGAACTTCTAAATAGCCTATTGGAATCTGTTAACGCTGTCCTTGATCTGGTAATCAAATTTCAAGTTACTAAAAAAGGGCCTATCAGGTCGTAGAATGAAGTGCTATCTTCAACCCTTGATGAGCACTAAGATTTTTTGGAGCCTAGGTACACTTGAACAACTATGGTCAGGATTTAACATGCAAATCTATATGCTTGTGCACAATTAGTAACAATATAGACCACGTAGCAAAATGAAAATTGCAAGAATAACGGTCATCAAAAAGAAAATGGTAAACAAATAATCAAATATAATATTCTATGTAGTCTCCATCAGTGTTGTCGAATTGTGATACGTATCATGTATCGTATCGTATATCATAAGTAACATACATAAATGTATTGCAAAATAAATTACTAAATCATGTAACCAATGACCAAATTGGTCAATAAGTTATATGTAAATTCAATAAATTAGATTCATGACAGCAGTTTAATTTCTTATAGCAAAAAGAGTATTAGTCATTTTTTCTTGCGAGTTTATTTGAATTTGGGTCTTTTTTGTATGGGATTTTTTTTTTTAATAATATAGTTCATGACTGTTCATTAAGTGTAAACTATGGTGATTCATAGTGAGAAAGTAGGCTAACGGAGCCAAAGGTGAAGAAGAATGTAAAAATTAATTAATCATGCGATATAAGTTGAATAGCGATACGATATAGAATCATGTGATATGGAAACATATCTCATGATTCAAGTCACTAACGATACAAGTCTGCAATACAAATCTTTTTTTTATATGACACATATTGTATCGTACGATTTTGACAACACTGGTCTCTATAAACATGAAGACAGTAAAGAGCAACCAACCCGTAAAAATGCTACATTGGCAATACTGGACAATACCATCATTAAATAATCAGTCACACCTAACAACTTGCAGGACATCTCACAATATTACTGGTGGGGATCGAGGAGGCATTGGGTAAAGAATAAATTAATTTAATCTCGGGGAGGGCTTGGGCTTGGCAGCTCAGGGAAGGCTTGGACAGCCTTCAGTGCAACTCGGACTGGGCTTAGGGAAACCTTAGTCCGACCACCTAAAGTTGCAGCTTGAGATTGAATTAGTACTTGTTATGGCACTTAAGAAACTGTTGAGTCAGTAGTATCCTAGCAAGATGTTGATTTAGTCTCAGAATCAACTTTTAATTGTTCAATTGATGATGACATTACTAATGAGTCTCTCATAATCTGATATCCTCAACGCCTCCCAAGTCTAATACTCATGTCTCTTCATCTGATGCTAAGACTGCTCTTGATATTGTTCTTTATCATTCACCTCACAAATCCATTAATTTTGTTCCTTTGCATGATATACTAATTCTCTTGAGAATGTTCTTGATCTAAGAATCATGGAAACATGACACGGAAATGCTAACTTGATAATTTTCAAAAATTTGTAGGACACGAAACGTTAGACATGCGCAATACGTATAATTTTATATATTTACTATCCATCATATATATAATACATCATTCAAAGATAATAAAAAATTCTCAACCTAATATAATATATCATTTCGAGAACATAAAACAAGATACAGTTCACCTATTGGACTACCTCTCCACTGTAAGTGCCATCAATGAAGCCATTCTTGCCATGCTTTATGTGATTCAGCTCCCACTTTTCCTCAAGCATTTTAATTGATTCCATATAATCCATCTGACATTTCATTCTCTCTCTCTACATACAAAAATAGATATTTAAGGAGCATCAACTAGCAAACTTAAATGAAACACTAAACCAAACATGTTATGTACAGGAGAACATAACAGAACAAAAAAATATACCTTGAGTTCGACCAGAGTCAAATATACAAGAAATTGTTCTTCACAAACTCGTTATCAAGAATCAGAACTTTAGAACAACAGCATTTTAAGAGTGAGAAATAGACACTTCAACTAACCTCCAATGCATCCACAAAGTTTCTTTCGGCCTCAGAGACATGACTTCGTGCTTCTAAAGTTACTCTTTCAATTTCATCCTCAAAAGCTTTCTGCTGCCTCTCATTCTCAGCAATAAGTTTGTCAAGTTGCATCTCAAGCCTTCTAGACAAACTTTTGTAATCAAATTCCTCCTTAATTTTCAACATATTCTCCACCTTCATAGCCTGTTACAAATTGAAAGTAATAGCCAACATAATCACCAATTACTCATGTTACACTAATTCCGACTCTGATAATTATCCACATACATAAATGATGCACACATATATATATATCTGGACTATTCTAACCATAGAAAACTAAAACAGATGTAGTAAGAATATAGAGGCCAAGAAGCAGTGAAACACAAATTTATCCTGCGCTTTTAAGATGCATAAGAAGGTATGTTTGATACTTTCTACAGAATGCACGGACTGCTGTGTCAGCTACAGAACATAATTGTATTCTGTCTGTAACAACAAATTTCTGCAGTTACTCCAATTAAAGCATCAAGAAGAATCAATCCTTTTCCATTTGAATGATAAGCCTCCAGATCTGATTACTCACCCTTTGGCCGAACAATATTGTACTTGCAGTCTCTGCTCGATGGCGTGGTGATGGGCCGATAGTCACAATTAATGAAGTTCTTGCTGTACCTGCAAGATATAAATCAATGTAAGGAAAATCAATAGAATTTTCCCTTTTTTTAGTAGATTAAAACAAAAGGAAATGCCAAAAATAATAATAATAACACTGGTCATCATTGTCAGTCTCTAGAGCGTTCCATAGGATTTTTTTATTAAAGGCAAAAGGTTAAATTACCCAAAAATTCACTTTTTAGAGGTCCTACTGGTTTTAGTCCCAATCTAAATTTTAATCCACAAAGTCTTATTGTTAAACAGTTTTTATGTTTTGGATCACATAATTCTTTAATGAAAGGGACGGAGCTCACAGAAGGAAAGATGCAACTCAAGGGACCAATGCTCGTGCATATCAATGTGCACTGGCTTGGCAATTTCTTTTGTTGTGTTTTGAACTTTAAAATGTTATGACTTTCATTTTACACATAAATTTCAATAAAATTAATATTTTTGGAACTTACTCGTTGAGATTTATCAAACAAGATCAATTTGGAAATAAAATTATGTAAAATAAAAACATAATTTTTTTATGAATTTATTGTATGGACCATTGTTGACTGTCTATTACATTTTTAATTTGAAACTTTAAAATGTCACAACTTTCAATATACACATCCGTTTTAATAAAATTTATATTTTTGGAATCTACTGGTCAAGATTTATATTGAATATTAAATTATGTAAAAATAAAAAGCTAATTTTTTTGGTAAAGTTACTGTATACAACAGTTAGCATAATCTAACACGAAAATTCCCTATATGCATTATCAATTTTTGGTTTCCAATGTTAATATGAAAATTTCTCATTTTCTTTTCTTCTAGTAAATACAGTACTTTTGACAAGAACAGACATATTTCATTGTGAATTTGTGTGCATATACATATCTATTTATGTATACACATCACAAGAAATTTTACACTTTCCAGCTCTTTTTTTTTTTGATAAATAAGCAAACTTTATTGAAAAAACATCAAGATGATGCAAAGAATACAAGAGCTAGCTTAGCGTTAAGCTAGCAAATAAGAAATAAAACCATGAACAAAAACCCAAACGACTCACTGATCATGTCTCTACAAAATCTACAAAAGTCAACACATCCGGATCTACTGATATCGTAACCCAACTATGAAACACAGTAAGCAATCGCCTCTCCAACCATGGAACCGAACGAGACATACCCTGAAAATGCGCCTATTCCGCTCCAACCAAATTAGCCACATCAAACCATGACCAGCAAGCAACCACGCCTTCCGACGCCTCCTCCCAACCCAACCCCCAGCCCAATTCTTACATTTTCCAGCCTTGACTATTCTATTGAGAGAAATATTTCATTTCTCTTAATTTCAAAATTCTCTTTGATGAATTCCTCTTATATCTTTTAGTTTACAATTTGCTTGTTCCATGAATAATTAAAAACTAAGAATTCTTAATTGGGTGAAACTAAGAAATTACTCAGTTATGTAAAATTGAAATTTCAAAACAATGGAACTTTTCATTTTTTGTAAAGTTATGTTAGATAGGGGAAGAGAGATTTCATTTTTCTTTTAGTTTCAAATGATTGTTACATTCTCATTTTCTGAGTTTCACAATTTAGAAATTTCTAAATTCAAAATTATGAAACTTCCCCAAATTGTGAAATGCCTAACTTTGTATGTGTATTTGTGTGAGAGATTTTATTTGTTTTAAAATTCAATTGACTGTTACAAAGTGAGATATTGTAAAATGAAAATTTCCTTAGTTTCTTAGAAGTAAGAATTTTTTTCTTTTTGTTGAAACTGTGAAAAAGATAGAATTCACAATTTCAAAATTGAGAAATTTATCAATTTCAAAAATATGGAACATGTAAATTTCAAAACGAAGAAATTTCTCAGTTTCAAAATTAAGATAGTTCTAAAATTTAAAGCTGAAAATTTTGTCAATTTGTGAATTTACTCACTTTATTTGTGAAATCAGTTTTATCCCAATTTCTCAATTTGGGATGAGATTTCTTTGATCTCAATAAAATTTGTCAATTTTAGAAGAAATTTTTTTGAGTTTTCGGAAGAAATTTCTTATTTTTTGGATAAAATTTCTCATCTTTTCACAATTTTTGTTTGAAATTTCTTATTTTTACAAAACAATGAAATTTCTCACTCAATTTTGTGAAAATAAGAAATTTGGGATGAAATTTCACATTTTAACCCCAATTTATTAATTTTAGGAATGAGATTCCTAAATTTTGGGTTAGAAATACTTTGTTTTGGAATGAAATTTCACAATTTTTGGCTGAAATTTATCATTTTTACAAAACTGAAGGGATGAAATTTCATAGTTTTGGGATGGAATTTCTAAGTTTGTGAAGAGAGTGAGATTTCATTTATTTTAGTTACCAATTTATAGTTACATCATGAATTAGAAAAAAGTGAAACTTACATTTTTAATTTGAAATTTCTGAAAATTATAAACTCGAAAATTCAAATTCTAGCAACATCGGAAAATATTCACTTTTTTTTTCAATAGGATGGTGATGGCAAGCATCTCAGGAACAATTTTAGTCATCCATATTATTAGCACAGTGGGTATTTTCAGTATATGAAAATTAAGGGGACTAAAGGGCTATAAAATATTGTTTAGGGACGTAGCATCAAATAAGTCTGTAAAATGAGACCTCTGGCCAAAGTCCTAAAAACAAATAATAATTATAAAATCGAAGGTTGGCATCTTTTAAAACGGTGAAGTAATATTCCTTTAGGAAAAGTAAACAAAACAAGTAGTTTGTTCATATCAACAATAAAGACTGCCATCTTATTAACTGCTTTCTCAAAGTTCAAGTAACGGAATAAGTTATTTACATGTCTATTGTATGGTGAAAAGATTACCTCCAAACGAATCTCTAAGCAATCTTGTAAGCTTGGAGTCTCGAACTGGCACGTGAGCACTATTTTCTGCCAATGCATTTATACACTTCCCTAACGCACTTAGTGACAGATTGATTGATTTGGCTTCCTCTAACATATGTCCCTCACTTCCTACCAGAAATAAAAGAGAGAAATTTGCAAATGACAAATTTAAAAAAAAAAATCATTCTGAAGATATATCAAATGACATTCACGGGTTTCAAAAAATTGCATAATCAACAACAATTTTAAGTTTCCCACTAGATCTATGGAGAGAGACTTGCATGTACAAACACAGTCAAGATATCCAAAAGTTAAAGTCTGACGTCTTGTGCCTGTATAACATGAACAGCTCGTTATGTATATGGGTTTTTTTATTTTTTTTATATATTAAAACATACACATCTTTTTTTCATATATGATACATCCATTTTGGTAAGACCATCGAAATTAAAATAAAAAATCTTTAACCAAAAAGGTTTTAAGAGACTAACAAAAAAGACTCTTTGACAATCACCCAAACTATGTTACAGTTTAGAGAAAGCAATAAATTCCGCAAGGGCTCTACACTGTTTGGTAACAGCGAGAGATATCGTATATATGATAGCTTTCCTTTTGATACATTCCAGATACAGCTGATGTATGTCTGAGTGCATGTACAAACACCCAAAAATGTGATAAACTGATATGTCAAAACTTTTCAGTAATGACTAGAAGTAATTTGCATTGCATTAGAAAATATTGGAGGTCAGGTCAGTCCTCGTTAGGTTTATACAAACAAGTTGGCTGCAACTTCTGAGCTCCTCCATAGAGGTTTACATTGTTGACATTGTCATCTTTGTACAATTTCTTCTCCATTTCATCCAGGTCAGTCTTCATTAGGCTTATTACTCAAGAAATCATCTAAATCAGTATACGAAGAGTGAATCTCCATGATACACCTCCATTACTAAGGCGGTGTTGTAAGATAAATTGATAGAGAGAGAAGGAGAGAATAAATTGTATGTGATGATTGTTGTTTAGCGTGTCTTTACAATATGAAAATGACTCTCCTTTTATAGAGGGGAGAGTGTACATAGGATGCCAAATGCACCGAAAGTAAAAGCAATAAACATTACAATAAACATTATAATATATGCTAATGTATGACAGCTATATATGACACTAACATTATAATACATATACTAACAGGTGTTTGGCAAGCGGAGGAGTTGGGTTTTTTTTGATTTTTTCACTAAAAGACATAGTTTTTGCACAACCAAAAAAAATAAATCCAAACAAAATATCACATCCAACCCCATAATCATTTCATTTTTTCTCTCACAAACATCACATCCATTTCATTTTTTCTCTCACAAACATCACATCCAGCCACAAAAAAACCCAACTATCTTTCCAAACACCAAAATTTTTTTATCCAATAATATCCTACAACTAAAAAAACCTACATAAAAACTCACTTCCCAAACACCCACTAAGTGTTAAAATAAAACATGTTGATAACAAATATGCAAAAGCGTGCAGACTATATACCATACTTAGATGGACAATGAACCAAAAACATTGTCTATAAGGAGTAAATCACATTTAAATTATTTATCTGAAAAGCAAAAGCCCATAAGTTTTGTACGCACCTGACTTGTGAATTCTCTCAGAACCAGCAAGATCTACAAGAACCAGCTTGCCTTTGCGAATAACAGTTGGTTTAAACGAATTGACCGAGTAAGAGGAATCATCATTTTCATTTGGAAAATCAGATTCTCTTCCCAAGAAAGACTTCCTAATTTGTACCTGCATTGAGTCAAAATGAATACTATATCCCGCTTAAGTAATATACAAAAAATGAATACTAAGAAGGTATTATGAAAAACGTGATGTGTGGGACAATTAATATTTTGTGATAAAATAACAGCTCATTGATTCACCATGAGAATAGCATGACTGCGAGAAGATTCGGTATTTAATTTCGTGTTAGCAGCAAATCGATGAGCTTCTCCTAACCGTAGTAACTCCAGAAAACTCTGTTGGTTTCTAATTTCCACAACGGTTGCACCTGGTACTGAAACATCCCCAGATTTTGGATCTTCAACAATGGCAATATTATCATTTGCTGGATTTAGGAGGTCCTGGATCGTCTCCATATAAAGCTGCATGCCATTTACGATGATAATATTAGACAAATTGGGAAGGCATATATCTTGACTATTTAGAGAGTTTGACACGATGAAATGCTCCAAATAGTTTGTAGTCCGTAATATATAACTTGATAAAGAAAATATTACCTATTGCAAATAAAATTTCACAATAGTAACCGTAATATAATTAAGTAATTTTGAAACAAGGACATAACAACCTGCAAATATGAGACCGAGACAGAATCAGTTTGCAAAGAGATATCTGCTAATATATCCTCCATGGCACGAACCATGATACCACGAGCAGAAGTGTCTTCATCACCCAGACGTCCAAGAGTATACGTCTTCCCTGTGCCGGTCTGACCATAAGCCATCACTGTTCCATTGTAACCGTCCAGAACACTCTACAAAAAACGAAGGCATCTCAATAACTGTTTCAAAAGCTCAAAACAAGATAAAACATATGACATGCGTTTGAAGTAATACTGTCATAGATTATCAAATATGGGAATGAAAAATAGATTTTAGGAGCTTCCTCAAACCTCAGACACAAAGAGTAATAGAAAACAGACTCTATATAAAAGTAGACAATGTCATGCAAGAAAACAATTTTTTTTAGGCGGACAGAGAGAATTACAACCTTCAATTGAGGGAATTCAGGCATCACAAGAAGATACACTAATTTTTTAACCAATGTTAGTTTACGAATGCCATGTATGTTACAGAACACAGAAAACACAAAGTTGCTGGACAACATTAACCTGCCTTCAGAGAGGCCTTAAAAGTTGCAAGCCAAGGAATGGGTAGCTTTTACAATAGTACCCTACCAACAAGCTTGGAGAAAACAGAGAGCTTTAACAACTGATACTGCAAATCACTCCAAGCAAACTTGGTTGGGCCCAGGAACCATCACAATCCAATATAGTGGCACCCTCATTTCATATAATCAACCATGATGCAAGCAATTGGGAATACTAGAGATGAAGCCACTGCCTTCAATTTCCTAGTAATATCTGAATGGAATATTTCTAAACTCATCAGCCAAACAAGCGTAGAAGGATTACTACCAATGCTCCAATTTAACAAAGTATTTGCTCAAACTGTCTAGTAATAATCTACTGAATCCACTTCATTTTTTTCATGTATAATGGATTACTTATGGTTGTGTATTTTTTTATTTTTTGGTGGAAAGGGGGAGAGATTGTAACAAATAAAGTTATCATAACCCATCAGCCAATTTTTAGTCACTTAGTCAACATCTGCATGTATCAACCAATACATCAACAAGGCACAAATAAATGAGTTGTGTCATCATCTCACTTTGCAAATTCATCCATTAGATGCAAGGGATTTGGAAAATATATAAAACAAGAAAAGTAAAAAGAGATGAGCTCTGAAGGATCTTAAAAGGATTTCAAGTTAAAACACAGTGTCATTTCAGCCCTATAGCAAACAGCTTCACTCAAGCTGAAATTTAAAAACTAAATATTCACATAAAACCTTGAATTTTCCTCTTAAAAACTACTTACACTTTGTCATGATTATAGTAATAGATAATTTGTGGTTATAGTATGAAGACTACGTAGTCAATTAACCTTCTTTTGAGTCTTTCAATAGAAGAACAAGTAAAACATTTCGCTCATATATACACAATAATGTATTCCTCAACAAAGGAATAGCAAACGTTTTAACTTGAAGAAGTGGCTTCAGAAACAAAGGTAATATGAGATAGAAAAATAAGCTCACTTGGGAACATCAGTTGTTCGTGTATGATTCCTAGAAGCCAAATAAAGAAGTAATTGCAAAAATATTTAATTTCAAATATACCACAAACACAACGAACCTCCACAACAGGCTTTGCAACAACTTCATAGACACGCTTCTGTGATGCAAATTCAGTGAGCACCTCATCGAACTCATAGGTATCTGAATCCCAATTGTTCTTTCGAAGTTTCAACCTTTTAAGCTGAGGTATAGCAAAATTCCAATTAAATACGCATCATGAGAAAGAACATCTCTAACCAAAAGACAGAAGTTCAGATGCTTTTTAAGATAACATTAGAATCTAAACTGTTTGAGGAACAAGATTGAGCACCTCTGGCTGCAATTCCACACAGTCTGCAAAATCTGCATCTGCCACCGACTCCTCAACATTTTGGGGTCGCAATCTTACAGCCACTCTTACTCTTCCAGAGACTGTTCAGAAACACCAAAATTTATCAGTACAACTTCATCATTCATTGTTGGGTGGGAAATTAGGGAAGAAGCAAATATCAAATAACCCAATCTAGCAATTACAAATTGTGATGTCAAACAATAATAGGATTTCTAATCCGTAAAAATTTTAACACTAATATTGTTTGTGCTAAATCAAATAACAAACTCACAAACAATTCTAACTTCAATTAACTGTTTGTAACAAACTGAAGCCACCTGTACACGTAGTTTCAGATTTGTAACAAGAACGTATTCAGAATATAATCTAGGCCTGTAACTCATTTCATTTTCAGTAATGCAGAACAAGCTTTTGCTTTCCTCTCTTCATTGTTTCTCTCTTTGTTATCTTCAACCTTTATTCTTTTGTTCCTTCAACAAATATATCCATTACAAAAAAAGATGGAGACTAAAAAGATCAAGATGTTCACCTCAAAAACAAGTTGGAGAAAAACTTACCAATTCAGAGCTGAAATTGTAATATTGAAAGTATAAATTCTAATTAAACATTAATCGATAACATGACAAAGTTGTTATCATCCAATTGATTATTTACTCTTAATAACCAATTTAGGTGAGAAAATAATAACAATAATACTACACAATTGCTTTTATAAAATCTTTTTTTTTTTTTTTAAATTTGGTTTGAGAAGATTAAACTTAAAGTTGTGTCTTCATTCAAAAAAGGATTCAAAATCTCACCTTAATTATGTCCCTATTTTAGCATACCTCACTCATGGCACCTTTAGCTTCAACTTGCACTTCGTATTAGTGTCTAGAGTGGTTTTTAAAGTGCCTAGAGTTGTGCCTACTTTAGCATCCCTCACTCAAAAGTTGTCAGTTGGACATGATATTTGCATTGTCAATCTTCTTGTGCATAAAGTCACAGCTATGGAGATTGTCTTCCAGCATGATATTTGCAGAGGTATGTGGAGTGAGGACAAACTAAAAGTAGACAACAACCAGCACCACCACAACCAAATGCAGATTTGTCTAATTAAAGCTGGGGTTCACAACTATGTCTAGCTCGAGGTAGTCATTGTCCTGGTAATATTGGTGAGAACATAAATAATAAAGTAACCCCAATCTCTAACAGTTCAAGCATTTAGATGTGTTAGTGATCAACAAATTAACATAGTATCAGAGTAGGCAATATATTATCTGTTCGAACCTAAGTCACAGATCTGATAATTATAATTTTGCAGGTAACTTCATCCACTCTGCATCAGAGGAACATCTAGTACAACTGCTTTAGCAGCCGAGATATTGAACAACGAACATCCAATTGAATTCCTTGCCTCACCCTGAGATGAGAGGGAAAGTCAATTTGACTCGAATCATGGACCTGATCTTCAATCCTACACCGCTTAATGATGCGATGGGAGAAGTTTTTATTTTGTCATTTTTTCATCATTGTTGTACTAATCATCATTGTTGTACTAATCTCCAGTCCAGGACAAGTGAGATCTTCCAGTCTGCGTGCGTGGGAGCAGCTCAAACAAGAAGATTCTAGTCCGATCTGAATTCAGGCACAACCTGCCCGTCTGCTGCTAGAACTGAGAATGGCGCTTGGCGAGGGCATCACTACATCCCGCACCCCCAAAAATTTTAGAAACCTCATTGTCCTCTAAAATGCCTCATGTAATGACCCTCCAAATTTTTTTTTTTTGATAAATAATGAGTTTTATTGAAAAAGCATCAAGCTGATGCAAGACCAAGGGAAAGAAAGAATGACCCTCCAAAATTTTCATTTGAGAATATAGTCTATTTGATTGGCAAAATCCCTTTTTTTTTTTAATTTTCTTAAGTTATGCTAGAAAAAGGAAATTGATTTCTCATGTGGATTCCTATAATGTTTTTTTTTTTTAAATTAAACCACTTATGAAGCTTTATGGGCGCAAGTACATTGAATAATATTCAAATAATTACATAAGGGAGGTTTAGTGCAAATTCTTATAAGTTGAAAATTAATAATCAAAAAACAAAAAAGAATATTACTATTACTGTCCTCACTTTTCAATAATTAGCCATTTTTCTAACTTCTTTAAGCTATTTTAATCTCATAAAGCAAAAATTGCATCAAATGCTTGCACATATTGGGAAAAAATGTAAATAGGAAATAGGACTATAGACTTACAAAAAGTAGATAGCATGTGTAAATTTAATAATTATTATTATTCAAAATACAGATTTATATTTTAACAATTATTTAATCCTTTTAAACTCGGCCAGACCTTTCTGCTATGTGAAAATCTACACCATTTCTTTCTTCCAGCCCCCGATGGAGGATTCCTGGCTCCTCCCCTGGGTTCAGACCACATGTTATCAATTCTTTTGCCCCAAAAATGCTGCATCGTGCATAACCACTCAAAATTACTAAAGAATACATCAACCATTTTAGAATATAAATTAACCAAATCACTAATGCATTGAACTCAAAACTCTCCAGCTTAAAATCAGGTTTTCCAATTCAGGCTGTGGAATCCACTTGATTTTGAAGTAACAGAACAAGTTTCCAAACCACATTACTTGAAACACGAGCTCCTTGATACAATCAAAAAAAAAAAATTAAAATAAAACCAAATATTCAACATCACATTGTCTAATCTAGCTTGATCAACAAGTACAAAGTTTCTAGATCGCATTTCCAAAATTGCATTAAAAAAAAAATTTGAGTTGTAGGGAACTGACCGGAGGCGTCGTCCTTGGCGGCTCCGCCGAGAGAGGAAGGGCTGCTGCGGCGGACAGGAAGTTTGGATTTGAAGGAAGAAGAAGTTCGGAGATGCGACGGAGCAGAGACCGGCCGATCTACCTTCACCGTCCCCTTATGAATGCCATTCCTGTAACCACCGCCGGAAGCCATCAATTGCTCTCTCTAGAATTCAAATGCTCTCCCTCCTCATTTTATGTATGTATATATGTATAATTGAAGTTTGCCGGTTAAAGTTCAAACAAAGAAGAGAGAGAGAGAGAGAGAGAGAGAGAGAGAGATCAGTGAAAGGGATGAGTGATGTGTTTGAGGAATTGAGGGGGTTTGGAGTTCAAATCAAACAAGAGAGAGAGACAGAGATGGGAGGGTGGGTCCTGTGAGTGCTGTGCTTTAGCGGAGTGGAAGAGGGTGGAAGAGAGAGACGGTCGCAGGTGGAGTGGGGTCTTTCCGAAGAAGTTATTCAGTGGTACTAGGTCATGAGGGAGTCGTGCCCAGGTTAGTCGTGATTAACAGATGGTGTGTTTGGCAAAGGCTATTTTTTGACTTTTTTTGACTAAAATTTATAAAAAAATAAAATAAGTTAATATAATTAATAAGATAAAATATAACATTAAACTCATAATTATTTTACTTTTTCTCTTATAAATATCATATCTAACTATAAAAAAATTCAATTATCTTTCTAAATACAAAAATTTTAATCTACTAAGGCTTCGTTTGGAAAAAGGGGTTGGATTGAGTTGGGTTTGGAGCTATTTTAACCACAAAAAGATAAAATAGTCTTTTTAGCCTAATAAGACAAAACACCATATCCAAGCCATAATTATTACATTCTTTCTCTCATAAAAATTCAAAAAAGCTAAAAAAATCCTTCTTAAACGAGATTTTTTAACCTCAGACTAAAATAGTTAAAAGCCAACCCACTCCCCAAACGAAGTCTAAAATAACCAAAAATTAAAATAACCAATTAAAATAGTAATTTTCTAAACACTCATAGAGAGTGAGTGCTAGGATTTTGTGTTAAGGCAGGAAAGAAATTTTAAAAAATAAAAATAAAATGTGTATTTAGGCCTTGTTTAGAAATTAAGTGTTTTAGATAAAAAAAAAATCACTATAAGTAGTCACATTACTTTCTTTATTTTTCTGCACCTGTTTTCATAAAAAAATTACTAAAATAGTTTATTCCCAAACGATGCCTTAGGGGTTGTTTGGGTAGAACTATAAAAGTGTATTTTTTTATTTTTTTATCTTTTTTATGTTATATTATTTGTCTATTTTTCTATATATTTTTTATAAAAAATTAAAAAGTGCACTTATTTAGATAATTCCAAATAATCTCTTAATCTTTTTAGTTTAATTTTTGGGAAAATTAATAAGAGTCTTGTTAATAAGTATTTTTATAATATAAGTAAAAGACAAAATATTTGTAAAACACAATACACTTTTTACTAACTTCAATGCACTTTTATTAAAATCAATACACTTTTGAATATTTTTACATATTTTTAAGGTACTTTTTATACACTTCTTAACATTAAACAATGCTGAAGGGACATTTGTTAGCATTTGTCAATTAATAAAATATCACTCTCTAACTTTGGATAGTAAGAAAGGTCTAACATAATTTTTTCTGCTAGTTAAAGGTCCTTCAGTATAAAACTTGCTCAACTCACCCACACCGTACCTACACACACACCCATACCAGACCCACACACCCCCTTTCTCTCTACTTTTTCTATTCTTAGCTCTTTAGACAAAAAAGAGGCAATGGCGACACAACAGCGACAGTGGAAGGTGGTTGCATTTTCAAGTCTCTTCTGATCTCCAAATTCAGTTCTTCAATTGAATGAGAAGATTGAAATTTGAATATACGTTTTTGCTAGTACGAACTTGTCTTTGAAGCGTTCATTTGCAAGGGATTTGAGCTATGGAAAGTTAGTCGAGTACGTGCATGTCGATGTAAAACAATTATTAGAAAGTTCTGTTTGATAAGTTTTGAATTCATTTAATTAGAAATTGACTTGAAGAAGTGAGTTTTTTAATGTGTTGTTGTTGAGAGAAATGTATTTTTCAATGTTTGATTTCTTTGACTCGATGATTTGCAATAATTTGTAGTAATTTTTTTTTTTTTTTTTTGTTATGTTGAAGGTTGTATGAAATTTTTTTTGAAATTTCTCTATGTCGAAATTTCTTTGTAATAATGTTGAGAGATTTCAATTATTACGAAAATGTTGCACGTCATCTATCTTATAAAATCTTAATATTATAGACCATAAACTAAAGTTTCTTAATTTTTTTTGTATTTAAATAAATTTTTATTTGTCTTTAATAAATGTTTTTATATTTTTTAAAAAATTAAAAATAAATAATTTTTTATTAAAACACTCATATATTTTTGTTGGGATTTTTTTTATATTTTCATAATTTTTTAAGTTTTTAAAAAGTATTTAGATTAGTTACATATAAAAAGTTGTAAAAAATAACTAACAAGAAAAAAAATCACTAAGGACAAATCAAAATTTATTTAAAAATATTTTTTAAAATATTAAAAAAAATTAGTGACTGGTAGATGGAATAGCACATGATATCATAAGAGCACCGAATAATTTCCGGTCTTCCTTCCTTGAATGAATATAATATGTTACTGAAAGTACGAAAATGCCACTCCGATTTGAGCGAAAGATTGATTAAAGTGGGTGGACAAGTGGTGTTAAAACAGACCGCCCGCGTGGTGGGTGGACAAGTGGTGTTAAAACAGACCGCCCGCGTGGGTGACTTAAATTGTGCAAACCAGTATCGTGGGAAGGTTGGCTTGGTACGGCTTTTTCAAATTATGATTTTACCCCACTAATACCATTATTAACCACTTCATTATTTTACCCCACTTTTCAAATTCAATAATTAATCAACCAAACTCAATAATTAATCAACCAATTATTCATATAAGTGTTAATTTCCTATCACACAATCAAAGAAGGAACTCAGTTAGAAAGTACCGATAGAATACATTAAACCAGAACAACCTGTCACAAAAAGATAAGAATCTGACGGTAGTTCGTCTACCCGGGGACACTCCGACGTTCAAGTCAGTAATTAAAAATCTCTCAAAAATAACAAATTGTGCTTAAATTCCCAAGAATGTACTTACCTCAAACCTATGAGGGTACCTTGTCTTTATACCCAGCAGTGACCTGATCCATGTAGAAGCCTAACTTCAATGAACTTAGACTTAATACTCATCTTGGACTCTCAGCTAGATAGGGATAAACTCCATAAGAGCTTTATCTTTATCTAGACTAAGACCCTCCCCTATTCTAAGACTCTTGTCACTTATCCGCTCATCTCGGATTCCAGCATCTCCGCAAGTAACCTTAGCTTAGCCAAGATCACCTTGGTATCAAGACCAGGCCACGTGGTACCTCGACTGACACTTCGGTGTCACCTTGGCCACGTGCTGTCATTCTCAAAATATGTCCCCACAACTGCTTCCTAAGTTTTATTACCTCAATAATCTAAGGTGATAGAACCTATATCGCTTGTTCATTTACCATATCGGTTAAAATTCATTCTTTCTTCTACGACCGAGATCATTACTCGTCGGCTTCAAGTACCCAGGACTCAACTGTCCATCTTTACCAAGAACCAAGAACCAAGTTCTTTGAGTTCTTCAACCGAGATCGTTCCTCTAGCCTAGGTTTTTGCTTCATTAAATCAAGAACTTCAAGAGTTTTATCTGTGTATAAGCTGTCACGCACAGTTTTCTCAACCGTTTCCTCCACGTGTCACGCCCCTACTGGCTCGTGCTAGTCATGCGTCACTAAGTCACATCGATTTGCCCACGCCGCCTGACAGGCACGTCGTCCTAGGCATTTCATTATAGTTTGTCGCATTTTTGAATTTTTTGACAAAACTCTTACTCTCTCTTATTGCCTATTCACTTTTGCAAAATTGATTTCTCGCTGTGCTCAATTTTTTTCTCTCTAAACTTCAAAAAACCCTCCATTGTTGTGATTTCGAGTTTTCTGCAACTGCTTCAATCATCTCTTCCAACGAGTATTTCGTCATTTGGTTCCGATTATTTACGCCGTCTAACTTCGGCGCGACTCATTCCGACATTTTTTCTGTCAACTTCACTCAATGAGTCCTTAGTTTCTTCTTTTTACTCCCTAGTCATGTTCTTCAATGTATCTTCTTTTTGAGTTTTGCCATATGTTCCACTCTGTATCTGTTGCTGTGGGAGTTATATCTGTTTTCGTAGTTGTACTTTGTTTAGTATGAGACATTCTCTGTTCTTGAATCTGTCTTGTTTCTCAAACTTTCGTCATTGCATTTGCTTGTGATTTGTGCACATTGTTTTCACACACTCACACAACATTTGTAATTTTTCATGTTTTTTGGACTGCCATTCGTATGACTAATCACATATTTGGCACATTGTACTAGTCACTTTGAATGTCTGGCACTGCTTTTTCTTTCAATATTTTTGCTTTGTTTGATTCTTGAATTTTGTTTGCCTTTGATGCGTTTTGACTTCGAATCATGCTCATTTTTCTGTTTTTCTTGTTGTATTTCGAGATTTTTCCCTAAATTCCTGTTTATGTAGTTTCTCGAATTGGGATTTGCTTTAGAATCTTGTTCTTTAGGAAAATCGAAATGAGCCACTCTTAGATCTTCAAAAACCCTTGCACCAATGCCTGTTTAGGTTTTAGTCGAGGTATTCAAACCTATATCCATCACTCTGTTGCCCAACCCCTTCCTGCCGAGATAATGGGTGTGTTCAGGTGGATGATAGATACCCTAGAAAAACTTGAGTATTTTAGGAGAGAGTTTTCTATCCCAGCCGACATCCAGATTAAGGTAGCTGGGAAAGAGGACTCTATCATGCCAGATGAAGATTTCATGCCCTTACCAGTGGTTGCCTTCATCGAATGTGGACTTCGGTTTCCCCTAGACACTCTCTTTCATGAAATCCTCCACTATTACAAACTTAATCCTATGCAACTTGTCATAAACTCATATACGGTCATCAATGGCATAATCGAACTAGCACACCGAGAAAAAGCTTGGATCACTTTAGCCAACATCCAATTCTGCTATACCATGTGTGACCTTAAGTCTGAAAAAGGCTACATCTACTACCTCAAGCCCAGGTCCACTGCCTACAAACTAATAGCAGACCTCCCAGACTCTAACAAAGGTGCGGGAGATGATTACTTTATTGTCTCGAACAATTGAGAATTTGCGCCTGACGACAACCTTCATCTCTATCATCTACGTCGATCGGTGTTTAAAAAAGGCGATAGTAAGAGCTGAGTTACCCTTTTAATCATATTTCAGCTAGGACTTGTCAGTATATATCTGTTTTTTGAATG